TATGTAGACTACTGGACTAGTCTTTTCATCGTGGCTGATGAGTTATGACGACTCCACATTTGCATCTGAAGGGAACGATGCACATTACACAAATGATCCTGTGAAGTATGATCTTAATTTAAAAATGGCGATTTACACATACTTATAACAAAAACCTTCTCTTCAATACGTCAGTTGAAAATTAATAAAACTCGTATATTAGGTAAATATCGAATATAATATTGTTTTTTATTTTACTCTTCGATTATATTATGTACATAAGACTGTGTTAGAAATTTATAAAATATTTTTTTGGTCTATATTATTAAAGTAAAATCACGGATTTATTACGATTTTCAATAGATACAAAAACATTTTAGAAAATCGCTATTTATTGAATTGGAAGTAGGTATGCGTCAATTGTATTGTTCAAAATGTTTTCGATTTAGTTTTTAATTTATTTTCTTTCAAAAAATTACAATTTACAGTAATTTTGAATCATTATATATAATTATAATATAATTATATATATATTAGAAATATGTATAGATTAGTGCCTTAAATTTTAATTCATAATAAGTTTTTGTTGTTTTTCTTAATCACTAAAAATAATTTCACAAAACGTTCATATAATATATAATTATGTCTAATACATATATCTACACAATGTTTAATACTTACTATCTACTCGTAGACAAAATAAGATATTATTACACAATTAATAATTATTATTTTAGCAGATGATCAAATAAACAAAAGAGATATGAGAGAAATGTTATCTATTATATTTTATTAGGTATCTATTTGTAATTTAAAATTTCCAATGTTCATTGGAACGTAATAATTTTAAAACAAGTAGAGGTAACTATAGACAGTATAGACTATAACTACTATATTATTATTATTATTATTATTATGTTATATATTTCTAAAATAGAAGTAAGATATTAAATGTTTTACAAGCCAAGACACTGAATGACGATGATGTTTTTTAAATTCTCATTCAAGAATGTTGAATTTGTTGATGATGTCTGGATCGGAACCAACGGAACGTCGGAGATGCCCTGCTGTAGCGCAATCGTGGTGTTTACATGATTTGGAATTTCGGATGGTGCCAATGATAAATTTATGTTTTTAAATTTTGATTTAGTTGCTTTATCTCAAATATGATAAAGTAGGAAAATAACTATTTTTCAGGAGACTTAGGTATTTGTAGCAAAACGTAAAACGTGCACCTTTAATGTTGATTATGGATCTTTTGAACATATTTAGCGAGGTTATTGTTGTAGTATTATCACAGATTAAATAAAACAATTTTATTTAATTTGTGTTAGTACACTATCTTTATTTTTTAATAATTCAGCATTCCGCATTCAATAGGTGACTTTCATCACATTCGACGCACTGATCGATATGACAACATAAGTTACGAATGAATGTGACCGTAAGCTATAGGTAATTGTGTCGTTTTGGCAGACTGAGTGGTTTTAAATAGCTCTTCAGTTTTGGTGTTCAATAAAGCGTTTATTTTTAAAACGTCGAACTAATTGATGACGTGCCTGTAAGTCGTAAAACCACATAAAAATGTGGTAAGGAAATTTGATTTTTTTTAAATAATAGTATCTACGTACCTACCTAACATGCGTTTGACCGGCACAAATAGTTCAGAACATGGGTGTCATTTTTCAGCACTATCCTAATAGAACGTATATGTGTAAATAATAAGCAAGAAGTTGAGGATAGATTATCCAGTCGTCAAACAAAATCTTCTGATAGGGAAAATCAGTTTTAAGGGTTTGTGTGTGTGTGACGGGGGGGGGGGGGTATTAGAAAAAAATCTGTTTAATGGCTATTTTAAGATTATTTTAGGTCTTATTAAACAACAAGTTTAGTTAGAAATGTTTTTGATACAGATATACAGTGAAACTTCCATATAACGAAGTCGAATAAGCAACAAAAAAAAAAATCGTTATATGGGGGAATTCGTTAAATAGAATTACGTATGTTTTTCAATTTTTTTTAAAATTTAATTATATGTATATGTATGTAAAAAACAACATCAAACATATTACAGTTTGATTTAATTTTTAACCTTAAATTTAATTTAAAAGAAATAATCAATGAGTTTTGTTTGCTTATTATTTTTGAAAATCGTCCTTTTTTCATAAAAAGTTTCTATATCGTCAAGTTTAAAAAAAAAATTTCATCGGGAACATTTCCTTGTTGTCTAAAACCATTTCTTACACTGATTAAGCGTTTAATATGTCTTCTTCTGTGAGTTTGGTTTGTTCTACTGCATGTTCCTCTTCGTCTTCTCTAACGTTTCGATATTTTTTTTTTACGGACGATGAGAAAACGAAAGAAAATTCGTAGTAAACTCGTTTGCATCTATATTGGAACTGAAGTACTGCAGTAAAATTAATCAGTTTGCCTACCTTCAGCGTCTTATATTTATCGGATACATTGTTCATGTACAATTTTAGAACTATGACTAAAATTTGATAGTGACAACATTTAAAAAAACCAGTTTTTATCGAATAATTATTTCGTTATATAGAAACATCAGATTCGTTATTTGGAGATAAACTTACGCGTAATTAACGCTGAAGGTCATAGTTCTTAAAAATATTTCGTTAAACAGAAAATTTCGTTAAATGGAAGTTCATTATATAGAAGTTTCACTGTATTGATAATTTTAATGATTCAAATGTTTTGAATACATTTTTATTCATTAATAGTAGTCAATAGTAAAAGTTTGGATACAAGGAAATGCAGTAATATTATCTACTTTAACATTCAACTGACAACCACTAATTTATTATCTAGTTACTTTTTTTTTCATTTTAGTCGAAAATTTCTGAGTAAATCCATTGACATATTATAATTTTTAGTTTATGGTTAAATCTGAATGTTCTCAATAACTAATGGACTCATAGTAAATTGATAGTGTATATAAAGGTAGCCGGTAGGTAGCCATATTGATAAATATTTTTTAGGCATTTCGTTCATAAAAGTACAAAACGACTAAAGATACAATTTAATTACAATATTTTGTGCAATAATGAAATATGTATTTAAAAGTATAAAAGAAAAATTTATAATTACATAAAAATATAATATAATAAAATATGTTTATAAAATGTGTTTACATAAATCATGTAGAAAGATAGATAATATCAAGACTTAATTAAATTATAATTATTAGAGCTCAGATGATAATATCACAACTGGCATGTAGTAATAAATTCAATAAATATACAATTTTTACCTTAAAATATAATAAATATTTTCAATACTTATATTGAAAAAATAAAAGATAATCAATAATTATTAATCACAAAATATATTTTATGTACTTGAAATAATGTGTCTAAAATTCTTACAACAAAAAAATTGAAAATTAAGAGTTCTTAATAATATAGACTTTTTTAATATAAATATAATATAACATAGATTAATTTAAATAAATGTGTATTTTACTTATTAGAAAATTATGACTTCTTTGACAAAATTCTTTGGTGGTGGTTAGGTTAGGTGGTGTTAATAATATAAGCATTCAAAAACATCTTGGCTTTAGTTATAATTAACAAGAAAAAAGTAACCTAACTGAAGGAAAATTAGAGTCAACGCTAACATAACTTGAATATAAGCAGAAAAATAAAATAATATGACAGACTAGGAAGAAGAATCTCAAATCCTTTAAAAAGGTAACATCATTGGATAATTTTCTTAATAAATAAAAATAGTTTTTTTATCGATAGAAGATCTGTTTATTTTTTATAAATATCAATCATAAAAAATTTATATATCAATATAGATGTATAATGAAAATAAAATATCTATTGAATATTAATAATAACTAATTTGAAGCACCTAAAGATTCATATATCTTACATAATAATACTGACTTACATATTTAAGTAATTTAACTATATTATTAAGTATTAACTAATACTCGTATTTGAGTAGGTACCTAAGTACTTTTGGAATAGATATAAAATGTATCACAGTTTTAGCCAAATGTTATTATAATAAAAATAAAAATTTCTATAAAAAATTATACTAAATAACAAATATTGTGATGTATTAAAATCAGTTTATCATTCAGTAATAATATCTTATAAATATTTCCATAGCTGAAATGCAATTAAACCTCCACCTATGTTTAATATTAATAAATTACAGAGTATGAAATTAAAAATTGTACGTGTAACATTAACAAAAAGAAACTAAAATAAATTAATGGTTGCAAACCATTTAATTGAACCAATTACATAAATATATAACAATGTATAATATTTATACTTTTATAGAATAGTATATATTATATAGTCATAAATATTTAGTCCTGTCCTCATTAAAAATATCAATGTACGTTAAATTTTAGTGTCATAAAATAAAATTATAAATCAACTCCCAAAGAAGACCCTAAAAGACTCTTCAACCAAATCCTTGAATCATATGGAGGCTGTTCACCACCAAGTTCTGAAGGCAAAATATCTCTTGGGAAATATTTATGTAGTGTGTTTAAATTCAAACCATGTAAAATTATCTATAAAATATAAAAAAATATTAATTAATAAGTATATACAAATTTTTAATATACATTTATAAATAGGGCAATTTACCAATCAATCTCAACTACAATTTTTTCTTTGATAATGTTTTTTTTTTTTGAACTACAGAAATAAAAAATGTTTTTTGGAGTTTTATTATATATATTTTAATTTGTTAAGATCTTTGTGCAACTTAAAGATTAAGCCATACAATATACAAATTTCTTTTTCTCAAATAAGTAAAACTCTAATTTATTATAAGCTTTAAAGGAGATGATTTTTTTTTGAAAATCTTGATGTATATAAATTAAAAATTTAATGAGTATTTTCTAAGTTTATATACTAACTGTACTAAGGATAATAAATTTAAAAAAATACAGAGAGAATAACATTTAAAAATAAATAAAATAATTTATAAATTATTGCAATAATATTTGTAAAAATTGTCAAAGTATAATAAATAGATACTATTGTACAAGACAAAATATTATCAGTGGCGTAAACAGCGTAATTAGAACTTTGATTGCCCGCAGCAAAATAATCCAGTGGACCTATATCCTTTAAATTTGGAAGAAAGAAGTATGAGGGATATGTATTCCCACAAAATTTAGCCCTATATCAGTCTCAGGTAATAGGTTATAAATAATTAAATATATGTTATACCACTCTAAGTATAAAATATTTTTCATTTTTTCCACAATTATTATTACAGATATCAACGACCAAACACTGTACTTAAAATAATCTATAAGCATGTGTCAGTAATTTTTCTATATATTAAATTAAATTTATTTTAAAGCAATTAAGTTTTATAATGACATAGTTTTTTTCCTAAAGATCAACATATTTTTAAATTTTATAATAATGATGATCTGTTTCTAAAATTTCATACATTCATTGATAGGCCCTCTAGAGACCACGAGCTTGAGAATCATTTCTCATCATGCCACCTTATCAATACGCCACTGAATATTACATATATTTTATATTTTATGTAAAACTATTTTCAGTGACAAATTATTATCCTTAGTACACAAGCTTTAATAACTTAAAAATGACATTTAAAGTTTTGATTTAAATGCTTTGACATGCAACAGGACATGAATGGTATAAAAAATCTAAGTGTTATAAATATGATATTCATAATCACAAAAAAGTGGTTCTTAGAAACAGAATTTAGAAAATAAATATTTGAATGAAAGTATAATTAAAGGAGAACGAAACAACAAGATGAGAGTGGTTGGTGAATCACCTTGTATATACTATATTATTTAAAATTCAAATAATAACTCCAAAATAATCTTACTCTATTTTTTGTTTTTTCTTTTAAAAATGGTTTAACAACGGACATTAAGCCATCAATATACCACGGTTGGTTAATAAAATGAACAGCTTTTATTTTTGCAGGAAAACAATCTTGTAAACCTTGTAGCATTACATGTAACAGCCTTGGACTAATGTTCATTGTTTGACGAGCTGTAAAGTTGGTCCAATCAATAATAAATACAAAACCGTTATACTGAGTATTGACATCTTTGATTAAATGTTCTAGAGATACTAATAGTGCTCTGTATATAGTTAGTAAACAATAACGTTCAGTGTTCCATTGGGAACAAACCATAAAAAGAACACGACGACTTCGTCTACAAATAAAAGAAAAAATATGTTTAAATTTTTTTTAAACCAATATTTTGAGTAATTAAGGCTTTAATAAATAAAAATAAAAAAAAATTTAAGTTTAGAGCTAACCTAGGTAATCACTAAAAAGTTAATATTTAAAATAGAAAATTAATTATACATATTAACCTATCCAAATTTGGTAGTACAGAAGGGAAACCATCTTGAATAGCCATTTGAATTTTCGGATCAAAAGGTTCCAATCGACGAAACCATAGATCATGTTCCTTTCTAAATTGGTAATAATTTTGAATCAAATCCAATGCATTATTCTCATTCATTTTCCGTGCATATAAGAACATTAATATAAACGCTTCTTTATTATTTTCTAAATATACATTTATGAAACAAACAAATTATAATTAATATAATTATAAATTGTAGTAATAATGTAGGCAAAATAATGAATACACTACTATATATATTAATAAGTAAAAGATAAAATGAAATACTCTTAAAATCTAAAATTTAATACCTATTATATTTTATTCCAAGTACCTACTCTTCAACATTTAATTTATTCAAAAATAATATGTGATAAGTCATGAATTTTCTTTATCCAATATTTAAAAAATCATAATTGGGATAATTATAGTATTTATTTTTAGTATTATTTATGTAGATATGTAATAAATGAATAAATTGTATAAATAATATTTGATAAATATCAATATATTTAATAATAACCAACTTTTCTGAAATATATGAATTATACATTTATAATATATAAAACTAACTATGTTTTAATATTTATAATGTTTATAAGTTCTAATCAACTACTTTTGAATAATACTATATTTCAAACATTTGTAAAGTGGTTCAGAAAATAACTCAAAAATAATTATGAATATTTAATCTATTTCACTAAAAATTATAATTTAGGGCAAGGAGTATTGTTTAATATAATTACTTAAATGTCAATATTTGGTAAATATAAAAATAATTATATAGAAATTATGTAATGTATATGTAACTTATATTTGTTTAAACTTAAAATTTACAAATACTGATAAAAAATAATAAGTAAATTATAAATCCATTATCTTTTGAGTAATAAATATTTATAAATTAATTAATTATGAGAAAGTACTTGACATAACATCTGATAAGGTAATTCAAAATATATACAATTGCAATAATAAATATAATATAATATATTATGTGGATCATAATGATTCAAACGATAACATATTTGACCTATTAAAATCATAATATTAATTATCATAATTATTTTTATTTAAAACTATGAAATGCAAACCAGTATGTTAAATGTTTCTAGATGTTTTATATCTAAGTAAAAAAAAAAATAGTTAAATCAAAATAATAAAATTACTAAAAAAAAAATACAATAAAATATTAATATTGAAACATTTATAGATATTTACTATTAATATAAAAAATAATATTTATTAACTACAAATTTAAATTATAATAAAAAGTTAATTATACAACTATAATGTAAAATGTATTTGATATTTTAATGGACCTTAAATTCATATTCATTTATACTTTTATATGTGTATCCTATATTCCTACCAAACTTAAGTATTTCATTCAAGGAGTATATCAATGACTGACTATAATTATTGATGAGATATTCAATTAGAAAATTTTATAAAATAATAGTCATGAATTACCATTCAGTAAAAATGTAAAACAATTATCAGTTATTTAGGTACAAAATACTATTTTATATAATCTATAGATAAGTATAATAATTAGGGTATTTTAATAAATGTCAAATGTTGTTTACCTGTATATGAGTGTTTAATTATGAATGGTCTTAATAGGTATTTTAAATAATAACATAAAGCAAGTAATGAGTATAAATACTATAGTTTTAAATACAAAACAATAATTGTCCTGTAATTACACATTATTAGTTTATTAGTAAATATTACTGTTTAGGGTTAAAAAATATATTTTTGATTGGATCTCATTAATTAATATAATGTAATAATAGTATATTAATATTATAGCTTACCGGCTAGAAAAGCAAATCCATTATTCCTGAGTAATCTTTTTAATTTAATCAAAGCTACTTCTCGAGTATTTTTCTTAATGACTGGGTTTTGACTGGATCTTGGGAATAAGTCAATGCCATAGTTAAAATTTAAAATACTATCCAAGTTATTTTGCTGATACTCTGAGTATTCTGCCATTTTATTTAACTATAAAGTAAAAAATATCAATGTGACTATTTAAAAAATTTCAAATGCAAAATGTTATCAAAGCAAACAACTATTGACACGTTTAGTGAATCACTAACAAAATTATTATATTATACATTATAATTTAATAATAATGTGATGTGGTCTAAGGTGGTACTTTTTAATAATATAATTTCAATAATTTATGACAAAGATTGATAGAGAAATACATGCGTGAGTAATGAGAATTATTGATATTATTATCAAGGTTGACCTCTTATTTTTAATACGTGATAAAAACTAATAAATCACATTATTAAATACAATTTTATTATGACTTAATAGTCAATACACTATCAAAAGTCAAAACAATGAAAAAAGTAGATATGGGTCGTTGTACAAAGTGTCGCCATGATGATTATATGCGTGTATCGTAATTTTCGTATACTTTACATAACAAAACGAACGTTAAAACGGATCAACAAGTGGTTTGACGCGACAATGTTGAAACTACAGTAGTAGTTAGTTGGCAGTTTGGAAGTGTATTTACCAATACCTATTATCATTTATTTTAAAATATATTTTTATATTCTAAAATCAATGCTATTATTAATTATTATTATTATTGTATAGATACATCTGTTTTATAACAATACGAGTACTTACTACTTATTTACTACCGCAACAGATGTCAATATTATGTTGAAATCCAACAATTTCGGGAAACTGCCCATTCAGTCTTACGTGTAGCTAAAGTTACTAGGATAATAACTACCGATGGTTATTGAAGATGGATTCTAGTGTAATGTAACGTTATTAATATTTCGAATAAGGTACAGCTGGTACAGGTACAGCCTCATAGGTGTAGTAATAATTAAATTATTATTATTTATGTAAATCTATGGAATAATTATTATAAAAAAAAATTAATCAACTCGTCCTTGTATATTATTGGGTGTGTCGGTAACAATGTTGCAATTAAAAAATCTTTATTTTACGTTAATGTTTTGAGTAAACAAAACAAAAAATGTTGACAAAACAAACAATATAATAGGTCGCAGTTTGTGTTATTAAAGAATAGTGTATGATAAAACTATAGAGTAGATTACATATTTTTTTTAAATTAGAGTTCTTATCATGTGATAACTCCAGCTGTAGCTCAAGGTAAATAATAGAGCTGGGTCAATACCTAACACTTTTTTCCGATATCTGATATTCTGTTTTATAATTTTATATATATATTGCCAATTTTAAATCTATATTTAACCGATCCGATATTTGATTTTCATAAACCGATATAAAATATAAATCATGAGACATATTATCAAAATATATTAAATTTCCGCAAGGATAATTAATACTTATTAAAATAAATTAATAATTAATAACTTTAAATATTCTTTTAGTTGAATAAGTGGACAAAACAAATAAAAGAATATAATAGCAATAAAAAATTATAAAATATTTAATAATAATAAGAGGTAATATAATTCATTATACTTACAAATATTTTCTTCTTGATTATATTAGCAAAATTATCAGATGTATTAGGTTTTGATTTTTTTAATTTAGTTTCATTATTTATTACAAGTGCACTTAATCTCTATATAGACATTATTGACTTTAAATATGTTTTATACGCCGTAGAGCTGAAAATGACCGTTCAACGGACAACGGTACAATTTTAACAGGGAGTACATAAAACACGTGTAAAGTAATACTTATTAAGGACAAGATTATAGATATTTTTAGTATTTACTAACCACATTGAATCATTAAAGTAAATCACCTAAAAGTAATTTCTTTAAACGACTTAAATACTTAATACATGTTTAATTTAATTATGTTGTGTCCTGTTTAATAATCTATACAAGTTATATATACCTATTTAAATATTTCATACTAATTATTAACTAAAATTATCTTCTAATAAATTGTCTTACCCTCAACTTTCAAGTGTTCTAGCTTATTAAGTATTAAAGTACCTATTATTTATCCTTGTTAAGTTAATGGTTAGTGCATGTCAACAGCTTTTACACTAAATTGAAGATGAACATATTTACATAAACTGTACTCGAGCTCATAAATAAATAAATATAATGTAGTATTTTATAGGTAGTTTCATATATTATTGTATTATCGTGTGACCTGTATACTTGACAATTACTTGTGTAATTTTATTTAATAATTTAATATTTATTATTTAGTATAATATTATAATATTTTATACC